ATTTCCTTTAAATATGCCGAGAGATAAGCAGGCACTGTCGTCAGGTGGCATTCGCTCTTGCTCTAGTTTTAGAAGAATGGAAAGCGAAGCGTTTATTTCCTTTGGGCTGATTGTTCGGGAGGAGGATCGGAAAACGTCGCTATTTGCATAAAGAGTGAGCGGAGTATTTTTTGTCTTGGCAATAAATCGCAAGGCATATGCTGTAATTCGCAATAGGTGTGGGAGGCGAGAGAACCGAAAAATTGGGAAAACAGGTTCTTCTATAGTAATTGCGTTGGAAAATGAATAAATCTCTAGAGGGGCTGTCGGGGGCAATTTTTCAATTTTATTTTTAAATATTTCAGATGAAAATTTTTTAACTTGCGGGTGTTCTGGCCAATCAGAAGAAGTCAGCCAGCTTGGGCCATACCACCACAAATGGTTATTTTGAAAAGCATTGATGTCCATTTCGCCCCTTGTGGCTAGGTCCGCGGGGTTTTCCTTTCCAATTACGTGTTGGACGATTAAATTATTAGTGGATCGTATTTCAGAAATTCTGTTGTTGACAAAAATGTCGTTGATTGTTTCAGTATTATTTAGCCAGTTAATTACCGTTGAAGAGTCAGTCCACAGAAAATACTTCTCTTCAAGTTTAATAGAGGGGGAGAGGTGTTTTTGCACGAAATTGAGGGCCCGAGTTGCAATTAGTGTTCCCAACAATTCTAGTCGGGGAATAGTGTATGGGGAATTTTTAGCTTTAGCTTTTGGTTTTACTTTAATTTTCGAGAAAAGTAGCGAGGTTTCTACCTCGTTTTTAGTTAGATTTGTGGTCCTTAAGTAAATTGCTGTAGCGAAGGCGATCTGCGAAGCGTCTGAGAAAGCGTGTAATTGGAAGGTTATATTAGTCGGATCAAAGGAAAAATTCCTACGGGGAATTTTAATAGAGGAGGCATTCCAATTTTTGTTTAATTTGGTCCATTCCTTAACAGCTTCTGTAGGTAATTCAGTGTCCCATCCGAGCGAGGGAGTAATATTCCAAAGCGATTGCATGAATATTTTTGTCGGTAACAATAAGGGTCCGATCAGTCCAAGAGGGTCAAAATGTGAGGCAAAGAATGCAAGGACTTTTCTTTTGTTAGTGGTTGCTCAGGAAGGGGATTTAATGCCAGAGAGATTTCATCTAGGTCTGTTTCCCATGGTATGCCTAGGAATTTTTGTTTGGAGCCTGTCAATCTGTACGAGTCGGGTAAATGGTTAATAGCATTTATTTCATTGCTGGAAAATTCTCGCAGAGGCATAGAAGCCGCATCAAATATTTCAATCGCTTTTAAACATTTTTCTTGTGCTTCGCTTGTTTTTTGTGCAGAGAATAGTATATTGTCGACATATATGTTTTGGCCTATTTCTTTCGAGAGTGGGGATAGATTTTGGTGGAGGTGATGAGTTATTGTTGCCGCTAGTAGGTAAGGACTGCAGGTTAAACCGAAAGAAACACGGCAAAAGCGATAGCACTGTATATTTTGGGAAGAGAATGGCTTGTTTATGTCCAAAACCCAAAGAAATCGGGTTGCGTCACGATGAGTTGGGGAGACTTCTATTTGCAGGAAAGCTTTGGCAATGTCACAGACAACCACTATTTTTGGCAATCTAAAGCGCAGTAGGACTCCGATTAATTCATTCATCAAAAGAGGGCCAGGGTAGAGCGTGTCATTTAAAGAGGGAGAGTTTTTTGATTCGCGCGCAGAGCCGTCATAAACAATGCGCATTTTATTTTTATCTAGCCGAATTACGGGTTGGTGGGGTAAGTAATGCAAGGGAGGCGAAAATTCTTTAATATTTTTTACAGGCTCAATTATTCCTAAATCCAGCTGTTCTTTAATAATTGCATTGTATTTAGTCAAATTTTCTGGGTTTTTATTTAGTGAGTTGAGAGTCGATCGGAGGCGTCCCCAGGCTAAACCGAAATTTGAAGAAAGCGAAATTTGTTTGGGATCGCTTTTGAAAGGCAAAGCTACTTGGTATCGCTTGTTTACCATTTTTATTGTTTTTAGAAAGGCTTTGTGTACTGTATCGTCATTATTTTCTGTAGCGGGGTTTGGGGGTGTTATGCCTATGTTTTCTAACGAGAATAGGTCGTTTATTTGACGGTCACAATTTTTGTCTGTAAGTTCTTCGCAAATTTGGGTAAAGTATGAGTGAGTTCTGTAAATTGTGTTGCTTAATCGGTTAGGGGAATTTATTTCTGATTTTCCCGCAATTAAGGGTCCGAGGAGCGTGTGCACTAATCTGTAGCCGTTAGGGAGTTTAGCAACGGGAGTTGGTTCTATATCATAATAAACATCACTTCCTAGCAGAACTATCGGTGACTTCCATTGTATTAGCAATTCTGCAGGTATTGAATCAGGGGATAATTGGTGAGGACTAATGTTCGCTACAGGCAAGGGATGAGTGAGAAAGTTTAGCGTGGTTGTTGAAACGGTGAGCGTACGACCGTTGACTAATTGAATGCCAATTTTTGTGGCAAAAGCAGGAGATTGAGCGCATTTTTGCTGGTTAAAAACGCCTATTTGTATATTTATCGGTTCAAGTGGTAATTTTAGCGCTTCCGCTGCCGCAGAGAGAATATAGGAGTTCGTGCTGCCATCGTCTAATAAGCACGGGACTATTATTTGCTTTGACGGATCATTCGGGTTAAAAATTTTTCCTAAGACACATTTTAACAGAACGGGATATGCGATAGAGGCTAGTGTACTAATTGAATTGGTAGCTGTTTTTTGCAGAGTATGTGCGGAGAATTCGGCAGCATTTCTACTTTCTATGTTTGTATTTTGCGGGAGGAGAGAGAAATCTTGGTTTTGATGGTTGGGGGTTATTACTGTGCTTGTAGAAGGTATTAGAGACTGCGGACGGGATCGGTTAATGTATTGCTCATTAGCATTAATTTGCTGATTATTTTCATAAACTCGTGTTTGTTTTTGCTGGAGGGCATTATTTATGTAAAAATTGCGGGAAGTGTAATTTGCTGCAGGGATTTGATTTTTGCGCGTGTTTGTATTTGGATTATTTTTAGCAAGAATTTGACCGCAAAGAGGTCGTGGATGCGTTTTGTTGCAGTTTTTGCATTGAGAAGGATTTGGACAATTTCTATAATTATGGTTAGGCTTCAAACATCGGGAACATAATTTCAGTTCATTAAGTCGGGAAATGCGGGAATTATAATCTTGGAATTTTTCGCAATATGTTGTAATGTGCCTGGGGTCGTTGCAAAAAAGGCACGGGTGTCTAAAACCGGGATTTTTACTGATCTGTTGATTAGCTACCGCCGAAAAATTTAAAGGCGGAGATGGTTGCAAGTTTCTAGTTTGGAGCTGCCTGTTAAAAGGTAACGAAAATCTATTACTTACCGGCGTTTCCATTCGATTGGGAGGCGATTGTTGGACATTTGGCCTTAAAGTAGTCGGCCGAGAAGGATGTATTGAATTAATTTCTTCTCTTCTTTTACGAATATTTTTTAAACATTCTTTCAAATCTTCGGTAGTCCAATGCCCGGCAAGTTGTTCCTTATTTTTATAAATTTCTTCGAGTACAAAATTTGGTAGTTTACTTTCAATGTCCATTAATATTGATGGAATATTTGAATCTGAATTATGTTGCTTGAATTGGATTAATATAGCTTCCAGGTTGTCAGTAAGTGTAGCAAAGTCCTGATTAAAGTATTCTCCCCTTCTAACGTTAGGAAGATTTCTAATTGCCTGGTAAAGGCTGCGGACAATCTCTTCTTTATTATTAAATTTATTCTCTAAAAGGTGGATCGCTTGGCCATAGGAATCGTCAGTAAGTGGCAACGCTTCGATTAAGCAAAGAGCAGGGCCGCTCAGGCAGGATTTTAAATACGACAGTTTCACAGCATCGGAAAGGGAAGAGATATTTCCTATAGCGGCGGAAAATTGGTTCCAAAAGGAAAGAAAGTCGGCAGATTTGCCGCTAAAGGACGGAAGGTTCATTCTGGGTATATGAGCGTGCGAGGAGGATTGAGTGGAGGAGGAGGGTAGCGCTCCCTCTAGTAAACGTTGTGATGAGCGTAATTTTCGTTTGTATTGCTTTACTTTGTTGAGGGTTTCGATATAGGGATGTTGCGCGTAAAACTGGTCATAAATTGAATTATCGGCCAAACGTTCGGGGCCTGTCATGTTGCTGCGGAGGGACATCCAATTAGTGTGTGCGTGGGAAAGGTCATCAGCTATTTCGCACAAATTCTGGAATTCAAGATTTAGGTCTGCTAGGGAAGCTTGAATGGCATCATAAAATTGGGCGTTTGATTGAGTGGGTCCTTTCAAGGGAACATTGAATGTTTTGGGAGCTGCAAGGAGTGTGTCTGCGTCCTCAAGCAAAGTAATGATTTCGGTGCGGTACCCAGCAGACATTTTTATTTTTTTTTTCCCACTATAGAAATTTTATATTTTTTTTTTGAATTGGTGCAAGAGGTTTGTTTAACTTCACCGGCTGAGCTGTCGCGGAAAAAGCAATCCGCGAATAATAAAAATTTATAACTCACACAAATTTTAAGCAAAAACAAATTAAGATTTTATTTAAAAGCAATTAAAAGTTTTTCCAACAAAAATATATTAGCTAAAGCAAAGTTCAGTCAAAAGTTGAAAAGCAATTTTTTTAGAATATTTTTAGAATGAAGAAAAACAGAAAGGATAGAGCAGATATATAAAAAAAGGGTTGGACAACAAAAATAAAAAAAGGCACAAAGAACGACCAATCAAACAAAGGCGGTTAAAAAATACATTTTAATTTAAGTGAATGCAGGTGTTTTGATAAAAACAAATATGTTTTTGTTTAATGGAAAAAAGGGGTTTTAAATTTTAAATAAGAAAAAGGGAATTCTTTAATTTTAGACATTCGTAAAACGACACAAAGAATATTAAAATCGTTAGAAAATTTAGTTTATCATTTAATTTTTAAAAAGTTTTTCTTAAAATCAGTCAAAGTCTCAGATTGAACAGTTCCCTTATTTATGGAGAGCATGGACGTTTGCATATAATTCCAGTTCCAGGTTTCTCACAGTTGACATCCTTCCATTTTCCATCATTCCCAATTCCAACACAATGCTTCTTATCTCCACCTCCAGGTTTTGATGGACATCCGGGAGCCCAAGGTGATGGTGGTTTTTTCTTACCCTTGCAACTACATTTCTTATGGTCATCCTCATCACTATCATCTTTGGATTTATCCTTTTTGTCTTTCTTCTTCTTGTCCTTTTCTTCTTTCTCCTTCTTCTTTTTATCCTCCTTTTCCTTCTTCTTTTTGTCTTTCTCTTCCTTTTCCTTCTTCTTTTTGTCCTCCTTTTCTTCCTTCTTCTTGTCTTTTTCTTCCTTCTTTTTGTCCTTTTCTTCCTTTTCCTTTTTCTTTTTATCGTCATCATCCTTTTCCTTCTTCTTATCTTTATCTTTCTTGTCTTTTTCTTCCTTTTCCTTTTTCTTATCTTCTTTTTCCTTCTTTTTGTCTTCCTTTTCCTTCTTCTTTTTGTCATCATCCTTACCCTTCTCTTTCTTCTTCTTGTCGTCATGACCATCTTCTTTGTCATTGTCATCATCCTTATTGTCCTCCTTAAATGTTAAAATTTAATTATCGGTAAATGTATCTTAGGTTTATTTTCTCACTTTTTTGTGTCCATACGAGCATTCTTTGCCGTCATCACAGTAACAGTCATTTTCCTCTTCATGATTGTCTGTAACTGCTATATGAATACCAGTCCAAATACACGAGTCTTGTATCTCTCGCTTAGCTCTTTTCTTGGACTTAAGCTGGATATTTGCTACATTTTCGAGCAAGAATTCATTCTCTTCTTCAGAGTTGATTGAACATGGAAGAGCATGATATTTGGCACAGATAGCCTTAGCCTAAAATAAAAAATAGATTAAAAGGCGCAAAATATGAGCGTAAAATCATACCGTAAAATAAGAGCTGTTGGGAGCTGGAAAATATTTGTAGGCGAATGATCCATCCTTTCCATGCTTAACTTGCCAGTCATCCGATCCACACTTGTATCCATCATTGCAATTACAATTGCCACAACTGCCATTGTTTCCACCTCCGTTTGCAGGTTTGGGAGTAGATCCCGGAAAACCTGGTAATAAAGTAGCAAATGTTTTTGGCGATTGAGCAGTTACAACTGGACCAATGCTGCTACCTCCACCGATGGCAGACTTGGTTGAAACTACTGGGGCTCCTGATGGTTTTGAAGTAACAACTGGACCAATGCTGCTTCCTCCACCGTTGGCAGACTTGGTTGAAACTACTGGGACTGCTGATGGTTTCGAAGTCACAACAGGACCAATGCTGCTTCCTCCACCGTTGGCAGACTTGGTTGAAACTACTGGGGCTGCTGTATTCGCGGGAAGTAAAGTTGAAGCTTTAGAAGCCTCAGGTGTTTGAGCAGTTGAAGCAGAACCTCCGCTATTACCACCTATACATTTCTTTTTACAAATCGTTCCATCAAGTCCGTCGTTACACCCAACGTCATTCCACTTAAAATTCGGCTTGCCAAAATTATAAGTCGTATCTACAATCCGGACGCAGTGAACAGTATCTTAATGCAAAATTGTTAGTACATAGTTTTAAAATTAATTTTTCAAATCTTAAACTAGCTGCTTACTTCCATCAGTAGTGATCGATGGATTTCTCACCCATGGGTATTCTTGTCTTTTAGGATCTTTAACACCATTGAAATTTCCAAAATTGCAATCTGACTTATCAGAAAATGAGCAGGTAGGTGAGTACTGATCTGACACTTGTTGCATTCCAATGTAGAGTACAACTCCGCTTGTTTTAATCAAACCATAAATAAACTCATTTTCATCTTTACTGTGAATGCTGACTATATCACTGTCAAGACCTGAACAGATGCTTTGTGCCTATAAAATGTAGACTTATCGTCATTAAATTGAGAAAAGAAGCCGCACCTGACTAAAAGTTATATTCTTTTGCAATACAACTTGATAGCCATACTCGACACCGCTTGAATCCGTACGCGAATCCCAACCTGCAGGACATGCAGCATTTATGAAAGCAAAGTGAATACATTGAATAGAGAGACATGTCAATAGGAGAGCGTGAGAAACAGAAAGTTTCATTTTAGTGAAAGTTATATTCTTTTATTAGATATTAAGTAAAGTAACTTTTTAGCGTCTATAAATGAAGATGAATGATTTTAAGAAAATGATGGAGAATAAGACAGACTATCAGCTTTTATATGAGTTAAATTAAACTTTGTTATAGACAAGATTTTTCTTGAATATATTTAAATTTAAAGGGATTTATTTAAAATTCTCGCTGCCACGATTAAAATTTTATTCAATTTTTTGCTTAGCTTGCTTCTATAGCGTTGTCATTTTAAGCTTTTTTAAATAATTTTTTTTTAATTTTTAAATGGTAAATTAATTGAAAATTTAGTTCCGCATAGGGTATAGAGTTGAGAATAGTCGATTTTAGATTATTCTTTTACATATTCAATTCTTTAAATTTTGAAAGAAAAGGCTGATTTGTGACCGACATCAAAAAATAAGGAAAATTCATACGGGAGCCAGACATATAGGGACGGAAATTTCCGGACAGACATATTGTGACAGACATTTCGTGATGGAGATTTCATAAAATTTTAAAGAAACGATTAAAGTCGATTTTTTAGATTCCTCACTTATTGTTAAGGGATTTAAAAAGGTAAAGGAAAGCTATTGGAGTTTGTGAGGCTTAAGAGGGATTAAATTGAAAGAATAAATGTCTGATGGCAGGGCATCCTCAACTGTGGTAGTGAGGCTTAAAAAGAGCTGTCAGTAAGTTGGAGGTTTTAAAACCCATCTAAATGAACAGAAAATTAACAATAATTTTCATCGAGTGGTGTTAAGCCCGATAAATGCCATTTTGTCCAAAACTTGGCAACTATTCTAAAAATCAATTTTCTATTCTCGCAATGATTTATTTTAGTTAGATTTTATTCCATACGCACATAATATACAACACTTCAAAATTATAAAGCTTTGGAAGGCGTAAAATATAAAATTAGAAAGTTTGAACAGCTAATTTTAAAGCAACGCTACTTAAATTTAATATAAAATATTTTTTTGGTGAATTTTATATATGGATTTTTGATGGGATTGATTAATTAGAAAGTCAAATGTTATCAATTAGAGATCAGAATATACTTTGTATCATGTTCGTGTTGTGAAAAATTCTATGGATGGGATACGGAATAAACCATCTTTGGAAATGGTCCGAGTACTGAGCACAATCGAGTATCCCCAATCAACACGATGACGGGTTTTTCTATCTATTCATATTGTTTTTTCAAGAAAAACTCACTCACATTATTTATTTGCCGCTAAATAGCAGCATACAAAAATATAGTTGGCGGACTGAAACACAAGCTTGCAGCAAATCCTGCATAAATGTAAATATTGTTAATAAATTTAATTGGCATAAGATATAAGGAGTAAATTATATAAAAGTTTTTAGCTAACGAGTTGAAATAAAAATAACAGCATATCCAACAACTCAAAATCATAAAGCTCTGGAAGGTATAAAATATTAAATTAAAAATTTTTAACAATCCGCAAGTCAATAAAAAAACGAAATCCGCAACTGCGTGCAGCTTTAATCATGAGTCTATTTAGCCAGGGATCATATACCATGTATTGTGTTTTTGCTTCGGACATATTCCTTGAATTGAAGCCGGTATAGAAGTCACAGTATCGGACGATTCAAGAGCACAACAACTGTGTTTTTTCAACTAGGAGTATTTTTTCAATTCAGCCAAATGATGGGCTATATTAATTCATTTATATTCTTACTAAAGGTACAGGCACAATATGAGGTTTTTGTATATTCTAAAAATTTTGGCGTTTAGCGTGATTTAAAAATTTGAAAAAATTGCAATTTTGGCGAACAGCTCTGTGGCACAACTCCAAATAAATCGTTTATTTGCCAGCCTAATAGCCAGCATCCAAAAATATAACTGTAACTAAAAAGATTTTTATAAGTAAATGAAAATAGGCATATTTTAATAAATTAGATAGAAAAATATTATATGGAGTAGATTACATAAAAGCAATGACTTAGAATTCTACTCAAAATGGCCAAAGCTAAGAATTAGTATAAGTTGAGGTTGCACCCCGAACTCTCGAGGGCGGGATAACTTGGATAACCCTCTCTTGTTTTGGATAACTTGTATGAAATTTATCAAAAATTATTCATAGTAGAAAATTAGCCTGGGATGCCGGCTTCCAAAAAATTACAGCTTTTTAGATTACAATAACTATTATCAGTGTATTGTAGTTTATACTAAATCTATTTTTGTATCAAAAAATAAATAATTTGTAATTTTTAGCTACATTTGGATGTATTTTTTACTCGATTTAATTTAGTGTTCAATATGTGCTGTCAGTTGATCTCGTTGGTGTATACATATGTGGGTCTATTTATGATGTATATGACCATAATGAGACCATAAATGAGAATCGGGTCGGTGTACTCATTAATAATTAATTAAATTTTAGTTAATTTTAAATCAAACAAATTTATAATAATATGACTTATTAGTATTTATCCTCATAGTTAGTTTTTGGTTGCCAACATATAATTGGCAAAAATAGTATGTATGGGAAGCAAGTTTGTGAAATAATTTTTTGTCGGCAAATAATGCGACATACAAAAATAATAAACATGTACTTACGATGAGCGTAATTTAAATAGAAAAATATTTTGGCCGTATCTGAAAATATTTTGGCCGTATCTCGTCTGCTTTGTATTTCTTTGTGCAATAAACGTTTCTGTTAGCTTCTCTACGTAAGCGGGGTCATAACAGAGTAGATTACATAAACGCAATGACTAAGAATTCTACTTAAAAAGGCCAATGTAAATAATTAGTATAAGTTGAGGTTGCACTCCGAACTCTCGAGGATGGGATAACTTGGATAACATTCTTGTCTTGGATAACTTTTATGAAATTTTTATAAAAATTATTCATAGTAGAAAATTAGCCTGGGATGCCGGCTTCCAAAAAACTACAGCTCACACGTGACTATCTATTATTAGTGTATTGTAGTTTAAGCTAAATTTATTTTTATTTCAAAAAATTAATAATTTGTAATTTTTAGCTCAAATTTAGATGTATTTTTTACTCGATTTAATATAGGGTTCAATATGAACTGTCAGTTGATCTCGTTGATGTATATGTGGGTCGATTTATGATGTATATGACCATAATGAGATCATAAATGAGAATCGGGTCGGTGTACTCATTAATAATTAATTAAATTTTAGTTAATTTTAAATCAAACAAATTTATGATAATATGACTTATTCGTATTTATCCTCATAGCTAGTTTTTGGTTGCCAACATATAATTGGCAAAAATAGTTGTATGGGAAGCAAGTTTGTGAAAATTATTTTTTGTCGGCATATAATGCGACATGCAAAAATAATAAACATGTAAATATTATGAGCGTCAGATAAGCAGAAAATATTTTAATTTAAAGCAAAATTTAAACGTAACAGAGTATAAGGAGTAAATACACTAAAATGTTATATAATTAGCTCATTTTACTTTTTTGCTCTATTATAATGTAAATCTGTTTATGAATTATTAATTTTATTATTTTTATACTAAACACACCACCCTAACAAATATTCGATATCGGCCGCTTCAGATTACTCGTCTGTTTTTAGTAGGATATCGTGGGATGGGATAGTGTAAATTAGGACATCGTGGAATTATAAGGAATAAGATGAAATTGAGAGAGGAAGAAGGTCTGATTATTAGGTAGAATCTAAAGGACATAAAAATGCTGGCGGATAAAAACGATCGATTTAGTATTAGAACATTAACCGCCTCTGCCGGCTTCTAAAAAATTAATTACGATTGGGAGGTCATAGTGGCATCTATTTATAAATTTTTGCAGACGTGAGTACATGGGGGATCTAATGTTCGCATTGTTAAAAAATTCATTGGATGCGAGATGGAATAATATACGCACCTTAATGGAAAGGGCAGGATTCCAGTCCATAACCGTCGGAATACATCAAATTTGATAATGTGTCATTTTCTTCATTTATGTTCTTCTGCCGTTACAGACATAACCCAAGTAATTTATTATTTGCCGGCTGAATTGCGGGCATACAAAAATAAAACGTCGAAATTCAAATATTTACATTAGATGCAACTCAGACGAAAAGGAAATATACTTTTATTAAATTAAATTATAAATAATGTATAAGGAGTAATAATTGGCTGATTTTAAATAAGAAAATCAGTTTTTGACCGAATAAAAATTGGGAATTTTAATGAGTTTTCTCCAATCTTTTTTTACTCCCCAAAAATGGGGTAGTATTTTTAAAAAATTTTTAATATACTCATTTTATAGAGCACTTCATGACCTACATTTTTGTGATGAAACTTTTTAACCGGCAATACCGGTTTCCAAAAAATTACGCCTGGAAAGTAAAAATACCATTACAAACTTATGTATAACTGACTACAAATATTAATTTTTATTTCAAAAAATAAATAACTTGCAATTTTAACGTATATTTTGATGTATTCTATGATATAATTGTATATAAGATATAATTCTAAGATATTAGTTCTGATTATGATTTACACAAGGCAATTTTGTTATCTTAAAAGCTACGGCACGTGTTTAGGTTTTCGTTTTGTTAAATTCTTTTGAATTGACATGAGTTGTTTTGTCCTCCCCCTCCGCTTGGCTTGGATAAATTTTATGAAATTTACTCAATAAATTAACCAAGAAAAATGGCCATTTATATAAGAAAATTAGCTTGGGACTCCGGCTTCCAAAAAATTACAGCTTTATAGACAAAAAACAATTATTTGTGTATATTTTATATGTACAAATATTCATTTTTATTTTAAAAAATTAAATTATCGCAATTTACATGTATTTTTTACTCTATTTAATTTAGGGTTATGTATCGATTACCTATTATTACCTCTAACAGAATTTTCAGAATACACTCTTCGGTCTTCGAATAGCGTTCTACGAATTTTAGACTGATTTGTCGCAAATCGTTCATCAGTTCGGGAATCCCAGCAATGAATATGAGTAAAGCAGCTGGGCTATAGCTATTTCCATAGA